TGAAAGAATACTGAAAGGAAATGGAGAGAACATTTAACATTGTGATAGAAGGTAGGGAAAACATCAGTTTAATTTAAAAAATGAGTAAGACTGAGCTCTTCTCTGGTCTCCTATGCCACTCACTTCCTTGCCTAATATGATGAAGTGATAGGTTGCTTTCGTACAATACTTCATCTGATGTTTCAGTCTAGGACTTTCCCAGCCACACTATCACAGATTTTTCACTAGAGATGCCATTGTCAAATTTGGACAATTACATGTTTCCTACCACTATAAGAAATCCCTTCATCCCAACAGCTTCATTTCTGCTTCATCTCACAGGACTATCTCATTGCTTTGACTCAGAAAATGAACTACATTCTTCCCAGTTGCTCCAGGAAACCCACTTTTTGTGCGAAGCTTAGCAAAGAAGATGAGCTCACATCAGCGATAAGATCAGGCAGTGGCTACATTTACAGAAAAGTATCAATTTTACTCAAGTTCTTAAGCATACAGGTATGTTTCCAGGAAGCTGGCATCAGTCCCAAGGCATCAGGATTAGACAAAGGAGCAAGTTGTCTTCCCATCTCACTATGTGGATTGCAAGCAGGATTTTGTTCTCAATCAAAGTTGAATGGGATAAATTACCCCTTTTTGATTTTTGAACTGGAGAGAGCAGCTGCCTTCTTTTGGTAAACACACAAGAAGGGCACTCAGAATTTGCCCTTAGTCATGAAAATTCATAGGCACCACTGCTATCATGAACTGAAAAGGATGCAAAATATTTCCCTCCTGCACCTAATGCCCTCCAGCTATATTTTCAGCCAGCATGGCTATTCGGAGGCTTAGGAGATTGGTATAACAATGCTATCAAAATATCTAGGTGACCTACCTATTGTAGATTCTGCCTACACTATGTAGTTATACCAGATTCATGCCACTTTATTAAAAGTGGTTCCATCTTTGTGAATCCTGGGATTTGTAGTTTGATGAGTTACTTAGAAAGTACAAAGGTATTTTGGGAAAAGGGTGGCTGATGATTCAATCAGAATTTATTGTTATCTCTTTATTTTTTTTATCCTGCCTTTTCCCCAATATAGGGACTCGAGGTAGCTAACAATAAAAGTAACACAATGCAAAATAGAACTTTTTTGTGTGTAAAGAGTGATTTGAAAAACGGCAAGTCGATTCTGGTGTGAGAGAATTGGCTGCCTGCAAGGACATTGCTCAGGGGATGCCCAGATGCTTTTGATGTTTTACCATCCTTGTGGGAAGCATCTCTCATGTCCCTGCATGGGGAGCTGGAGCTGACAGAGGGAGCTCAACCCACTCTTCCCAGATTCAAACCGCTGGCCTGTCGGCCAGCAGGTCCTGCCAGCCCAAGGGTTTAACCCACTGAACCACTGGGGCCTCAGTAAAACAATATAAATTAATCATGCTTTTAAAGAACCACAGAGAGAAAGGGATCAGTCCACATCACAAATCATTATTTTAGAGATTACTGATTTTCTCCTGCCCTAGAGATTAGGACTCAGAGCAATGGGTTCAAATTACAGGAAAGCGGATTCACCTAAACATTACGGGGAAAATCCTGAATGTAACATCTGTTCAACAGTGGAACTCTCTGTCTTGGAGTGTGGTGGAAGCTCCTTCTTTGGAGGCTTTTAAACAGAGACTGGGTAGCCATCTTTCTGGGGTGCTTTGTGCTTTTAATTTAATGACATAAGGGTTTTTTGTTTTTACTTTCATGATTAATCAAACAATGTAAATTAATCATGAAAATAAAAATAAACAACAGTTAAACCCATTAAATTAAATCAATTTAATTCTGCAAGGTAAACAGACCCTCAGAGTGTATCTGAACTGTAGAGTTAATGCAGTTTGGTATCCCTTTAACAAAGGAGTCCCTGGTGGTGCAGTGGGTTAAACCGTTGAGCAGTTGAACTTGCTGACTGAAAGGTCAGTGGTTTGAATCTGGGGAGCAGGGTAAGCTCCTGCTGTTAGCTCCAGCTTCTGCCAACTTAGCAGTTCAAAAACATGCAAATGAGAGTAGATGAATAGGTACCGCTCCAGCAGGAAGGTAACTTTGGCTTAGAAATGTAGATGAACACCACCCCCCAGAGTCTGACACAACTAGACTTAATGTCAAGGGGAAAGCTTTACCTTTACCTACGACCACTTTAACAGCCTATGGAATCCTGGGATTTGTAGTTCTTGCAGGCAACAGCACTATTTGGCAGAGAAGGCTAAAGAACTCATAAAACTGCAACTCTCATGACTCCATAGTACTGAGGCAAGGCAGTTGAAGTAATGTCAAACTGCAGTGTAGGTGCACCCTCAGAAACTTTAGTTTAGGGGGCCACCACTCTTGAAACAAAAATTCTAAATACTTTGTGAAACCGCATATTCTAGAATTTGTCAGAAAGGAAGACAGGGCCATTGGAGATAACACGAAACCAATATAACTGCACAGAGCAAATCCAACTGTTCAATCTCACACTTCAAATTTTTGTGTGTGTTAGCAGTGACTTGGGAAACTGCAAGTCGTTTCTGGTGTGAGAATATTGGCTGTCTGCAAGGACGTTGCTCAGGGGACACCTAGATGGTTTATCATTCTGTAGAAAGCTTCTCTCATGTCCCTGCATGGGAAACTGGAGCTGACAGATAGGAGCTCACCCTGCTCCCCAGATTCAAACCTCTGAACTTTTGGTCAGCAGTCCTGCCGGCACAAAGGGCTTAACCCAGGCATCCTCAAACTGTAACCCTCCAGCTGTTTGGGCCTCCAACCCCCAGAATTCCTGACAATTGAACAAGCCCATTAGGACTTCTGGAAGCTGGAGGCCCAAACAGCTGGAGGGCTGCAATTTGAGGATGCCTGGTTTAACCTATTGCAAATCTTGGAAGAGACCTCATGGACCATCCAGTCCAACCACCTGCCAAGAAGCAGGAAAATTGCATTCAAAGCAGCCCTGAAAGATGGCCATCTAGACTCTGTTTAAAAGCTTCCAAAGAAGGAGCCTCCACCACACTCTGGAGCAGAGAGTTCCACTGCTGAACGGCTCTCACAGTCAGGAAGTTCTTCCTAATGTTCAGATGGAATCTCCTTTCTTGTAGTTTGAAGCCATTGTTCCGTGTCCTAGTTTCCAGGGCAGCAGAAAACAAGCTTGCTCCCTCCTCCTTATGACTTCCCTCACGTATTTATACATGGCGATCATCAGGGCCGTAGCCAGAAAAAAATTTCGGGAGGTGTTGAAATTTTCGGGGGGG